GTAGTTCTGACCATGTATTGATCTTTGTAAATCATTCATCTCATTCTTCTTCTTCTTCGGACTCATCCTTCTTCTTCGGACTCACTTTATCATCACATTATTTACTACTACCCTATAGTTGATTGGGATACTTTTTGTGATTTTCTTTACGACGGTCCTTGGGCTGATGTCATTTTATTGTGTCTTAAATGTGCCTCCATTCCAGACAGGAATGGAAGCTTTTATTCCCACATGTAGGTTCCAAGTCAAGTCTCATTATACTCCATGGTTTTCACCTTCTTGTGCAGTTGCTATATCTAATCGCAATTAATTTTTTAAAAATCTTTTTCAAAAGAATTTTTTTCATCTTTTTCATAAAAATTTTTTTATTTTTTTTTAAAAGAATATTTTTCATTTTTTTTGAAAATACTCATTTGAGAAAAGCTGCTATTTATTACTGAAAGAAATCATTGCAAAAAGGTGCTGTCTGATGCTAAGCTCCATTATTCTTAATTTACTAAATCTCATAACTTATCTAAGAACTTAGGCTCTTGAGACTTCAACGGCAAGACTTCCCAGGAAATGTGTGCAGCTTTTCATCTTGTATGTCCATTTATTAGAAATTTTGGTAATTTATTAGAAAATTTGGTCTTGGCTTTTTTTTCATTTAATGACAATATATACTTGTTACATTAAAATTAATATATTTTACAAACTGATAGCAATTTATATTTTCGCTTTCCTCTTTAAAGAAAAAACAAATAAAATATAGGGAAATCATTCTATTTAATGTCAACTTAAAATTGTGTTTTTATGCTTTCCTTATCCAATTGTGTTGCTGAAAATAACACTCTATAGAAAAAAAAAGAAAAACAGTACACAAATTATTTAAATTATTAATTTTTTTATATTTAAATTACTTTCCTATATTGTTAGTTTTTCTTTCTTTGTTTTTGAAACTTAGTTTTTACGCAAGGCTTAATATAATAAAACTTGCTAACAGCCATGACCAAATGTCTAAAAAAAATTACTTGTGCGTTGACATATAAGACAAAAAAACGCATGTGTTTCCTGGGAAGGAACAGCATCATTAACAAAGGTAGGTCTAACATTCCATCTCTCATTCATGGGACTGATCTTATTACCTCTCCCAAAAATACAGCTGAACTATTTGCAAAGAACTTTTCTTCTAATTCGACTCTTGATTCCAATTAACAGGGTTAACTCATTCATAGACATTCAAATCATTCCTGCTTCCATTGCTTAAGTCATATCTCAATAAAACTTTGTTTTATTGAGATATGACTTAAGCAATGGAAGCAGTGGTCCAGACAAGATTTCTGTCATAGTCTTACAAAATTTGTTTCCAGAACTCTCTTTCATTCTCTCTAAATTATTTAATAAGTGCTTGACTGAGTCTCATTTTCCTGTCTGCTGGAAAATGGCATCTGTTGTTCCAATTTCCAAAAATCCGAGAAAACATTCTGACCCCTTTAATTATCGCCCTATCTTTTTTTTTTCTGTTATTAGCACGATCTTTGAGTTTTTGATCAACATATTTCTCACATCCCATCTTGAGTCAAATAACTTGAGTTCAAAAGATTAACATTTATCACAAAAGATACATAATTATATAAATTAAAAAAACTATATATAATTTATACTTTATATAAAAAATTTATACTTTATATAAAAAATCTTGGATATTTCAATCTTTTGAGATTATAAATCGCTTCTTTCTAACTGCTTCTTCTTTTTCTTTTTTTTTTCTTATTTAGCTGCCTCAAGAAGACCTAATGGTCTTGTCACAGAGCACTGCGGAAGTGCATTTAAGGAAGTTCACGCCTCCTTCCTTACCGTGATGCGAAAATATATCCAGAGCTTGTTTCGAACCTGGATCTCCTGCTTCTAAAGCAAGCATTCTAACCTTTGCGCCACGGCCAGGTGATGATGATGATGATCATAAAAGTCTTTATAAAAGTCATTCTTGATGGACATCACTCTTCTTCATTTCCAGTAACTTCTGGGGTACCTCAAGGTTCTATGCTTGGTCCTGTTTTCTTAATTATCTAAATTAATGATCTTTTTAAAGTAGCTATTTTTGCTGATGACACACAACCTTATACACCTTTCTTGACAAAAAGTATTCTCTTTTCAATTGCTTAGAACAGACATCTGGCATCAGGCTTCAGATGATGAATCAGGCATAGATCTTGAATTTGATCTTACTTCTGTAATAGATTGGGGCTTACAGAGGCTTGTGAATTTAAACTCCGACAAATCTCAGTTATTTACAGCTAGTAAATGACCTGGGTTGATATTTGACCGGACCCGGGGCCGGGTTTGATAAAATATAGCCGGGGCCAGGTTTGCAATGGGCTGCATAAACATTTATAATAATTATTAAATACTAGCATAAATATATGCCAGAATTTAATTTCAACTAAAACTCATTCTTGCTTGACTTGTCATTCATCAAAGTCTCATTCGTTTACTGTGTCTGTACCTGCATGCTCTAAAAAATTTGTCTAGTTTTTTTCCAGCACTTAACCATTTGGAACTCTCTCCTATCTTCATGTTTTCTTGACTCAACCTTTCCATTTCCGTGCTCTGAAACTTTATTCTTTTTTTTTTCCTAGTAACTCCTAACTTATTATTGGTTTTATGCAGCCTTGTTGGGAGTGAATCAGAATAACAAAAATGTTTGAACTTAACTTTTATAAAAGTTGCATAAGTAATGCTGCACCATGTCATATATGCGTAATAATTGTAGCTAATTTAAAATGTAAGTAATACTTTTTTTTAGAAGAGAAAAAAAAAATCTTAAAAAAATTTTAATAAAAAGTTTAGATATTCTTCTATGTCCAAGATTTATTGAAAATGTTTATGTTTGCCCTGAAAATGCTTAAAATAAGCAGTTTTTGGTCACTTTGAGGATCTTTTTTTCCCATATATAACCCTTAAGGACTTTAGTGGTGCTTAAATTTTTGGGAGTTAATTTAAACATGTTTGCTTCAATTCTAGAGGGTTTTGGTTTTTTAGGTTTCAAATTTTGTTTATAAGATTTATGTTTAGAAGTTAAAAGTTGAGAGTTGCAAATAAAACTATAAATAAAATATAATTACTATGTATTAGTATATATAGATATTAATTAGTTTATATAGATCCATTCACTTATTTATATTTCTAGTTTATTTTAAAAAATAACTTGATCTGTCTTTGTGCAGTCACAAAAATAAGTAGTTTTCAAAAATTAAAATTGGGCTGAAAAAAACTTACCTAGACTTAACTTGGACAAAACTTAATGAAGGAGAAAATAAAAAAAAACTCAAATAAAACTAAAACACAAAAAATAAAAAGAAAACTTAAATAAAATAAAACTCAATAATCTAAAACGATAAGTTTACTTAAATCATGTTTTTAATAACAGGTGTAATAATTAACCTTGAATCTTTTATCTTTACTAATAATTATGTAATATTTTGTAAAAACCTTAAAATAAAGGAACAATTTATTTATAATGAATGCTTAAAAAGTATTAGCAACTAATTTAAATTATGTTTTTTTTTTAGGTGTATTAACTTTAATGATTCTTATTAAAGTTCACTGAAGAGATTTTTGCTGTCTAAAAAAGTCATTATTTATAAAACTAGATTAATTTTTTATTTTTTAATAACATTTATTATAAAAAATGCATACTTATACAATTTATATAATTTAAGTTAAAAAAATTATATACAATTTTCAATGATACTTTGAACAAAAATCATTATCAGTAAATTGTTACTTTATTTAAATGCATTTCGCTAATATAAAAACATTAGTAAAGATAATTTATTTCTCTAAGATATAATTCAGAATCTTTTTTACTCAGCATGCTTTTGAAATGTTTTTTGAAATAACTGCGGTCAAATTATCAAAGCAAAATACTATTTGCCTGGTTTAAATGGCATGCGATACCTTTTGAAAGCTTAATGGTATCAAAATGAAGTGGAAGCCTTTAAAAAAAAAATTATTTTTAACTGGAAACTGTATATAAATTTCTTGATTTAGTGCTTTTATATATAAATTTATTATACATAAAATAAAAATTTTGTATATAAAAAATAAAATTTATATATAAAACCAAACATTTTGTTTAGTTGTAACTAAAATTTTGAGAATTTTTCTGTTAATTGGAGTTATCTATTATTCATTAAGATTAAATCAGCAAATCTAATTTTAGCCAAAAATATTTTATCAAACCCAATCCTGGTATATGATTGTTAGCTTTAACCATTTTATAACAATAAGTATAGGCTTTGTCTCAGGCTGAATATAAATATTTTTTAATCTGTGTTTACTATCATTATTATTATTATTTTCTAACTAATAAAACTGAATATAATTGCTGTAGAAAATAAACAAAAGTATTATCTAATCTAATGACTTAATAGAAATGCTATAAAAACAACATACATCTTTTTTTCTAATTTAAAAGAGTTTCACTAATAGACTTTAAAAGATCAAAGTTATATATTCTAAACTTAACTAGATTGAAAAATATAAATACTTAAAAACTTTGAAATTTCTTATTATCTACTTAAAACACCAAAAAAATTAAAAGGATTTTCTACCAAAAAGATTTGAACCCGCACCTAATAACAAGCTGACAGCCGCACCTCAAGCATTGAAATTTAGTACACCTTGTATGCTACATTAATATATTTATAAACTGAAAAAATTATTAAATTTAAACTTTTTTCATATTCAAATAATATTTCCACTGCAGGCTATGATAAACGCAAGGCTTTTAAATTAAAAAAATATATATAATTTTTATGCTTTTCAATTTTTATTTTTAAAGTTTATCTTTTATTTATTTTCTCATTCTATAAGGTTTTCTATTTTTTTTTAGTTTAAAGTTCTTATTTTTTAAATTTTATAAAGTTAGGTTTTTCCGGCATTTTTAAAAAGCACAAATTATCTAGCATAAAAATTTTTTATTCGATTCATTAAACTAAAAATAAAAGCAAACATACAAACAGCTTTATCTGGTCTTTTGGAAGAAGGTCTCCAATGCAAACATTCGAAGTCATGATCAAGATGATACTTTCTCTGATATTCTCTACCAAGCCTGAGCTTTAAAAACTCTGTACCCATTTGCATATATGTAAAACAATCAGTAGCTAAAATGTAAAAAAAAAATACTTCGTTTTGAAGAAATTAATATAACTTATAAGTAGTATTTTTTTAAAGAAAACAACATTAATTTTAAGTAAACAATACTATAGTTAATTATAATTAAAACTTTTACAAAATATATTAGAATTAAAACTTTTAAAGCACCAGGCTCCTGTATATTAAAATAGGACATATTTTCATTTAAATTAAAGAAAAATACATTTACTATTACATTTATTATTTAAAAAGATCACAATATCTATGATTGTCACAAATCTTTATAAAAAAAGATTCAAAAACCTTGCTTATGATAGTAAGAAGACTAACAGGATGGCAGTTAGACAAATCAGATCGTTCTCCAGAATTTTGAAAAATAGGGATAACAAACGCCGCTTTCCAGCAGGCTGGAAAACAATACTCTGATAAGCACTTGTTAAATAGTTTTGAAAGTATAAACGACTGGAGAACACTTCTGCAAGACTATAACAGGTATGTTTTCCTAAACTACAAGCTGTAGAAGAGTCTACGCAGTAAATCACTTTTGATACAAACGCTGGAGTGATATGAATGTCAAACAATAGATCAACCTGTTTGTCAGCTAAATAAGGTAGAATGCAACTAGTGGAATCAATAAAATGATGTTGATAAAAAAGTTCTTAGCAAACAATTCAGCTTGGCTTAAAATAAGGTGACAAAATCTGAACCATACAAGAGAGGTGGAACAACAGATTTGCCCTTATTTTAGATACTGTTAAAGATTCTCCAGAAGTCACAAGAGCCTAATTTTTAAAAAGATGAAATATGAGAATTTGTGAACTGAGAATAGCAGGCTTTGGCGCTAGACTAAACTTCATTACAATGGCTTCTAGAAAAAGTAAACAGACGTCTATTTTCTGGAGAATTGTTTTGCTAATAGATATGAAAGTAATGATGAAAATTGGTAATTGTAGCAGCACAATTAGAGGAAAATCATGGAGAAGAGTGAAGCTTGACTTGGAATTGTAGAGAGGGAATAAAGAATTCGATGTCAGCCTGAATTTAATAAGTTATGTAAGAAGCACATTTATCAGTAGTTATACAAGAAGTCAGATTTGTCAGAAGATTTCGCATTTGTCAGAAGTGACATAAGAAGCACATTTGTCAGTAGGATGAAAGATTACTACCCAAGGGTCAACATGAATAAATTCACGGAAAGAGTCCCAGTCAGCTTTACGGTAGTTGTAAATTGACAAAAAAACAGCAGAAAATGTCATATTAAAAAAATCCATTTGACACTTCCACGGCACTTTTACCCCCTTTGCTGCTTTAAATACAAAATAATATCTAAGTCTCAATTTTACTGATTAAGGCTTCATATCCATATAATTATAACAATTGTTTTTAGACACCTATTTTGAACATTACAAAATGTTCTTTTCTTGAGATTTCAATAAAATATTGTTCATTCAATAATTTAAAATTTGGGTATTACCAATATACAAATAAAAACAATTGCAAACATTAATCCTAAACTAGCTGAGATTGGACCCGCAAAAATATGGGTCTTTGTAAGTCTATTCCAAACCGAACTTTTCTCTACTTTTTCCTATATATCTTCGCATTTCGGATTTGTAAAATATGGGTATTTACCAAAACCTACCATTTCTATACATATCTATTCCAAACCGATTATTTATATACCTATTCCTTATTTACTTCAATATTTTTTAGTAAAATAATTTATTCTGAAAAAAAAAAACATTCAAGAGCAAAAAACTTATCATGTGCACCTTTTCCGTATATGTAGAGCTTATAAGCAACTTATATATAGGTTTGTTTTTCTGATAAATGCATTTCATTGATAGCTCAGTGGTTAATGTGCTGTCATCAGTTTTATTTTGGGGGGTTTAAGACCTCTACTCAGGTAATAAATTTTAAAATTTTTTTAATCTTGCTTATATATTTATTGCAAAAAAAAAAAAAATATAGCAAAAAAGATTTCTAAAATTTAAAATAGTTTTCTCATTTATAGATATATTATACACGATTATCTTTATATAATGCCTGCAAACTCAACATATGCTAAAGACGTTTACACATACAAATGTTTGTACGTAATGCTATACAAATGGAACTAAGAAGGTCTTAGACCAATAAAACATAGTCATTAAAAATAAGTTTGTTTTTATGATTATAATTAAAAACTAAAGAATAATAGCCTCAGCTATTAAACGTTAATCTAAAAATTAAGCCAAAAAAATTTTGCGCATTGGCGTTAGATTGTGGCAAAAAAAATCTTTATGCGTCAAGTTTCTTTTTGCATTTATCGCATTATTTATTGAAATTTCAAATTTTTCACTTGGATGAGACAATATGTTTTGTGTTTTTTTAATCTTGTCAATTTTTTTTTAATATAATAACATACATGCAAATAATCAAAACAAAACAGCTTGAGCAAAAAAATTACTTGATTTAATAAACTTTTTTTTTTAATGGCCACAAACTTAAAAAAAAAAATTTTGAAAATGGTAAATTATTATCAAAAACATACAAATGATATGTTAATGACATCAACAGTCATAGGCTATTTTTATTAGAAATCCAAAAACAATAATAATAATAATAATAATCTATATAATAATGCTGAACTTAATAGTAGTAGTCCCCTATCGAGCATGACACAGAACTCTTAGAACTGAGGTAATGGCAAGAATGAGTCACAGCACTTTTTTTTATAAGAAAAATGGGAACGAAAGTATATATCTAACTTATGTAAACTTTACATTATGTGATGTTAAAACGTACATCAAGTTTTAGAGTTTTACTTTCGCTTGAAAATTGTATTGTGGCAAGATCACCTTAAATTTGATTTATAGCATTTATTTCCGTTTTATTAAGTCTTTTGTTTGTTAAATAATTTTAAAATTTACTTCAGACAACACCCTGTGTGGCCAAGTGGTTAGCATTAGTTAGAAAATGACCGGGGAATTTAGGGTGATCTTTACATATGTTATGTATATAATATCTATAAAACTTCAAAGCGTTTTTTTTTTTGTATAAAAAAAAAAAAAAAAAAAAAAAAAAAAAGTTCCATTACCACAATGCAATTTTCAAATGAAAGTAAAACTGTAAAACTTGATGTATGTTCTAACATTACATAATGTAAAGTTTACATAAGTTAGATATTATTATATACCATTTTGTCTTTCGTTCCCATTTTCTTAAAAAAAAAAAAAGTGCTGTGACTCTTTCTTGCCATTGCCACCTTGGTTCTAAGAGTCATTTTCTAAGTTAGTTAGAAAATAACCAGGGCTGAGACCCCAGCCTTGTCCCCAGCTAAAAATGAGACTTTTTGCAAACCCTACTTTAGATGTAAAGTTTTCACAAAGACTGTTAGTGTAGATAAGAAACATTACAGAAGCAAAGATAGAACCTTGTGTTAACCTTAAAGTTTCTTAAAGTAAATAGGAGTGAAGTTAATCTATTTATATAAATGAAGAAGAGTGTATGCCTTCAAGAATAACTTTAATACTGAAGTTAGAAAGAAATAATTTAATAATCTTAAAACCTTTATATAAAGAAACTAATAACAGAGTAAAAACTAATCATAAGATAGTTGGAGAGGTCAAAGTGTTTTCTAGAGTTTTGAAAAACTGGAACCACTTATTTAGCACTTTTTAAAAGTTTAGCAAAAATTTAAGAGAGTTTTGGAGAACACTTTTTTAAGACAGAATGATGGTAATCTTGTCTGGAGCACAAACTGTAAAAGTTTTTAATTAAGAATTAACTTTAGCATTGGAAGCCAGAGTGATTTGGATGTTTAGCAATGTGTTAATATGTTTAACTGACAGGAAGAGTATGACCATTAGATTCAAGAGTCAAATTAAAGTAATACTTTTTTGCAAATAACTGGGGAGAAGTAAAAAGATCAGACCTATGAATTAGAGATTAAATGTTAGACTTACTTAGTTAATGACACTGTTGAAAACTTACCAAAAGTCTCTAGAATCTAACATCTGAGAAAAGATACAAGATTTAGTAAACTGATAATAACAGAGCTTAACATCGGACAGGACCTTTTTACTTAGTCTTCTTGCTATAATAAAAAGACATTTGTTCTTAAGAGAGATGTTCTTGTAAATAAGATGAAAGAAATGATTACTGTTTAATAATGCAACTGCTCAAAACAAAGAAAAATGTAAAGTAAAATGAGAGTTGACTTAAAATTGATGAGAAGGAGAAAAGCTTCCAAGATTTTTTTTCACAAGGAATAAAAGTTTCTAAGATGTTATGATACATAAGATGTTATGCCTTATGCATACATATTATGGATATAAACATATATGTTTGCTATTTATTTAGATGCTGGCATACAATATGCTGAAATAACCTAAAAAACATCTGCTATCACAATATGTGTGTATATATATATATATATTATATATATATATATATATATATATATATATATATATATATATATATATATATATATATATATATATATATATATATATATATATATGTATACATATATATATATATACATATATATATATATATATATATATATATATATATATATATATATATATATATATATATATATATATATATATATATATATATATGTATACATATACATATATATATATATATACATATATATATATATATATATACACATATACACACATATATATATATATACACATATATATACACACATACATATATATAAATATACATATATATATATATATATATATATATATATATATATATATATATATATATATATATATATATATATATATATATATATATAGATATATATATATATAGATATATATATACACATATAATAATAATAATAAGGTATAACTGTAACAACTGTTTTAAAAAACAGTTGCGAAGTGCAATAACATAAGATATTGCATTGTAACAGCTCATTTTGTCTTTTGTTTGTGTTTTAACAAATAGTTTCTGCAAAATCCAGCTCTGTCTAGTTTGTTTTTGAAGTTAT